TCTCCTATCTTTATATTCGCTCTTTCCCTACTTTTTCTTCCCTTGCATATCAGTATTTTAGTTTTACTTTTATTTATTTTCATACAGTACTGATCTGTCAGTACCGCTTCCATTTTATTTAAAGCTATCTCTAGGTCCTCCTTGCTAGATGCTAATACTGCTATATCATATATATAGCCCATAATTGATGTAATTGTAATAAATTGTACCATTTTCTAGAGCAAATTTACCGCCATATCAACAAAAATGGGACAAAGTTCAAATGCTCATGCATTTTTGGCGACTGCCGTCGATTTTTCTTGACGAAATACTCGAATGCAACTGTGACAAGCAAGACTTTTCAACTATCAAAAGGCATTTTGTAATAAAAATCGTTCCCCGACAAGTCGATTACAAAACGGCGGAACTGGTTCAAAATTTCGTTAAAGATACAAGGAAAAAACTGAAGATCGAAAGCAAAATGGAATGTGAACTCATTTCTTCATCTAGGCCATGGGTAGAATCGGTTAGTTCGCCACAATACATCGCCGCCGCAAGGGCCACAATACAGGTCAGTATTTTACGCAGCGTGTAAGAATACGTTCAGTAATATTAATGAGAGATTATGCGTGAATCAATAAATTATAAAACAGTAAAAGGCACGCATTCTATCTTTCATACTATCTCATATTACAATGGGTAAATAGGTTAGAACGTATGTCATGTGACATATAAATCTAGCAATGGTCTACGTTCATATTTCTTGACTTTGCTTAAGACGATGTAGAGTCCGTTCACTTAGAGAAAGGTGCACGATGTCAGATCGATATGCCCGAACTGGCTTAATGGGCGTAAACGTTAGAAGTAATTTACGGCGCCAAAGGATTACGGTTGGGCTTTGGTCGGAAACATCTGACAGTAAATGACCGAGCATATTCTGGAGGCCCGCCTACGACCGATAGTCGTTTGTTCCCATCACTCACGTGGTACCTTTCTCTAAGTGAATGTACTATAACCTGCAATTCTTCATTACTTTTTGAATTGATTCGAACAAACCTAGAGATAAGACTAAAAACTACATAAGGAAGAAGTCAGTCGCAGTTGCCAATGAAACATCTGATAAGTCCGAATTTTAATTATATTACGAATGCCTCATCTCTCCTTTTTAATATTCTTTTTCTGTCACTAGATCTATAAAATGAAGCCCAGTCTGATCAGAGAAGACAGAAATATACCAATAGTAAGTATGCTGAGCAAGGTGATGGAGAAGCCAGTTATGCTTCTACCCTTGCCGTCAATGGGTGCGAATATCTCGGAACCAAACGAAAACATTAGCCTTAAAAATTACTACGAAGGAACGAAACTTCTAGCGGCTTATATATTGCAAATTGCTGAAATGAAGAACGTGAAGTAAACATTTATCGAACAAATAAAAATCTATTTTACACATATATAGCGTTGTTGACTTTATATGGCATAAAAGTTTATTTGTGAAATATATAAGCATATAGGGCAAATGTAAGTTATTGTTTATATAATTTTCAAAAAATAAAGTACTATTACCTAATAATGACTTTTGATTTTTCATTTTCCAAAAATAGTTGCACAAATTGTTGTAGGTACTTTAATAAAAATTTTTCCAATTATCCAACTTTTTTAGCAAATATAAAGATAGGAGACGAAATATTAGAAGAAGTGGCCGATTTTAGGTATCTAGGAAGTCAGATAAGTCAGGACCGAAGGAGTAATAGGGATATAAAGCAAAGGATAACTCAGAGTCGAGTCGCCTTCAATAAAAAGAATTCGAAAAAGATTGTTAAAGGTGTATGTTTGGAGCACGGCGCTGTACAGGTGCGAAACATAGACGGTTGGCGCGGTGGCAAAGAAAAGGTTAGAAGCGTTCGAAATGTGGTGAGAATGATGAGGCTACCGTGGATGGAGAAGGTTAAAAATGAAGAGGTATTAGAAAGAATAAGAGAAGAGAGAATTATAATGTAGAAGTCAATAATAAATAGGCAAGATAGGTTGGTAGGACACCTGAGGCATGAAGGTCCAGTCAGAGACATATTAGAGGCAGAAACAGGTATTAAAACGGAGAGGTAGACCTAGATTAGGTCACTGTTCGCAAATAGTTAAGGATATGGGATGTTCTAGTTTTAGGGAAAAGTGAAGATTAGGTCAGGATAGGAAGGAGTCTTAGGAGTGACGACCTTGCAATGATGATGATGATTGGGTTCGTAAATTTTGTGCATAGAAGGATTGTCAAAAAAGTATCAGATTAAATGAGCAAGATCAAAAGTTAACACGTAAGACCAAGATTAAGACCGAGATTATTTCAGGAAAATCAAGACGAATACTAAAAGTATTTGAGCAAGATGAAAACCCATACCGAATAAATATGTCCAAGACCAATACCAAGACAACTTCTAGCTTCATATAGAATAATTTGTCTTTGGAATCACCCATTTGTTCTATCTATCGTCCTCTATTTTATCTGTCTGCTAAGTATACAAAAAGGGGAGTATTTTAGTAAATTCCTCTTGAGCATTGCCGGAAAATAAATCTCTGGATTGATGGTGCATATAAACTATAACAATAAGAAAGGAAAGGAACGGGGTGGATCGGCAGCGGTGCCAGCGTCATCGTTGCACCACCAGCAGGTCCCATATGCGCGGTGCAATTTTCGACAATGCCCGCCACCCCCGAGCAGTTAAGTACTTTTACAATGCCCTGCCCCTGCTGCTGCAAATGATCAAGGGACGATTCTTCATCGCCATTCATATCTCGACAATAAGTTGACGTTCACTTAGAGGGATGACGGCTTTTAATCAGAAATAAAACCACTTTTGTATTGCTTCGGATTAAAATGAATGACTAAATTAAACCGGCGTAAGATTACTAGACGGCGCAACGGCATCGGCGCGGCTGGCGCAAGCGGCGAGCGCGGGTGCGCCGTTCCTGAAGGAAAACAACGTTTCACGATAATTGATCTTCGTCGTGACATATGCACGCACTGTGCCAGATGCACTTTTTCTAGTCGAAAGCAACACTTCAGTAATTAAGAATTTGCCATTAAGCAAACATTAATTCGAAATTTACAATTGGACGTAGCATCTGGACGACTGCACTACGCTCAGGACGGATGTAAAACGTCTAGTAAGATCTATTTTTTATATAAGTTATTGTTCTCGGCTTGTATCTCAAAATGTATTTTCACATCATCGTCATAAGATCGTCAGTCCTAAGATTGGTTGGACACGCAACTTCACTCTTTCCTAATATCCTGAGCTAATCGCATTTCCCTAAAACTAGAAAAAAAAACTTTTGGGTGTTTCATTCCCATCAGCCAGTAATGCTGGTGGGCGGGCAGTCCCTCCGGACTACGCCGGAAGGTAGGGCGGAAGGCCCTCTTCAGCCTACTTTCAGGAATCGTGGGAATAGGTGGGTGATGGTTCAGGTGAGAAAGTTGAGACGAACGAAATGAAGACAGAAGAGAATGAAAAATTATCTGTGGAATATTACTGCCCCAGCATTTGCCTGAGTGATCCAAGGAAACCACAGATAAACTTGGATCAAGGCAGACGGACCCGGAATCGAACCGGCGTCCTCCCGAATGCTAAGCAATGGTCTAAACCTATAGGCCATGCCGCTCGGTCTAAAACTAGAACAACCCATATCCTTAACTATTTGCGAACACTAATCTAATGTAGGCCTACCTCTACCCCTTCTAAACTCACGTTTCTACCTCTAATATGTCTCTGACTCTTTGAAATTCGCTAAAACTCGATTGAAATTAGTTTCTTGGGAATTTTGGGGTCTCTGAACAAGAATACGTAGAGGTACCTTGGGCCTGACGATCTATGATTTGATGAATGATATTGATTAAATTTTTGCTAACGATCATGCTTCAAATAAATGATTTTTTTTAAGACACTGTTTTATTGATATGTTATATCTGTTTATAAATATATGAAGCATATTTTTGAAAAATAATTGTTTTACACAACCAATTTAAAACACAATTGCTGAAGAGGACGTGGTGTAGAGTGGTCGCCCTGAACCTCAGGTACGTCAGGGGTCATCGCCGACTGCTTAATGTTCACCGACCCTTAAAATTTCCGAGTAACAAAATTGGACTTCTAATGTGTTTCTACCAATATTGTCCAAGTTTTTTTAAAACTTTGTAATGCACTTATAAGACTGTATTTTTCTTATGCGCCAATGTATTTTTGAAGATGAATTGACAGTTTGCAGACCATCTCACGAATCGAAAGCAGAAAACCGCATCTCGATCCGACTTACTGCACAAAAATTCGAAGGTTTAACATATTTTTTTCTGAATTATATCTTGGACTATAAACTAATCTAACAAATAACGATGAATACATGACCAAAAAATACAAAAGAAATACAACACTAAAATGATTGATTGAATACAGCGTTACGTTGTCGTATTTCTCTGCATGATTTGCCAGGGCCGGACTGGCCCTTGTCTGTACATTCAAATACGTTTTCCTTAAAATAGTGAATTTTCAGATCTGAATAAATTTATTTATTTTAGAAATAAACCAGTATAATACAAAAACTATTCAACCTTTTTTTATAGCAATACTCTATAATGAGTTTCTTTAGTTTCAATAGTGACAATATCAAGATTAAGAAGATGCTTTGCCATTTATACGACTCTAAGGTATTACAACAACACAGTTTTATTATAATACGTATATATAAAACCAAGAGAGTAGGTACACTTTCTGTAAAAACATTTACGGTTTCACCAAATGCCACCGACCAAGCAGCGGTAGCACACGCTGGTGCCATTGCTACATATCCGGTCGAATGTTTTTCCCGTGTAAATGCTTAAAAGGTAATTAGCAGAAATTATTGGCGCGCAACTCCAATTTGCGGGGAGTTTATGGTGTGAAGAGAGGTTAGACTGTCTGACGGCCCCCGGTGGCCGATAAATTAATCAGGACTGCCAGGCAACGGGGATGGGGGCCCGCGGTCGTTTATACTTCCACTCTGTATCCACCCACCCCCGCGCTGCTCCAACGCCGCCCCCAACCGCCACGTTCAAACCTACAGAGAGAAATACACTCGCTAAATGCTCTGCTGACGACCCAACTAAAGGCTATTACACCGCTTTTATTTTGCCGTATACCTCGAAAGGACCTCTTTCTACGACATCTATTTTACTGTAACCAACATCTACCATCATTCCAGATGATACGCGTATTATTCGTTTCTTTTGGATTTTTTGAGGTATTAGAACAGAGGAGCTATGAAGTCAATAAGAAATAAGCAAGATAAGTTGGTATAGTTGAGACAATCAAAATTAACATAATCCCCAATAAATTGCATCTGTGACAATGGACGTATCTTCATTTTTGTTTCCAATTGGGACCGTAGTCATTTGGTGCGTTAAGTTAGTAAATGTTTCATGAGTAGTACAGACAAAGTGAAAAAAGATAACCTAATAACAGTACTGATGCAGCATTTAGGGGTTGCTTATGTGCGCAAAAGATCAGGATCGGCTTTATAACTTCCTGGTTGGAATTATATCTTTAAATAAACGTCTTTACATTCCTAAAGAATGATTAACTTTCTTCAGAGTCCGATGCTGGCAACATGCTTTCTGCTACACATTAATTGATGCAATCTTATTCCTTTTTCTTTATTAGTTCCCGCTGCAACTCCTACCTAACATCTCTTTTCTCTGTTTACGATGTTTACGTCTGGCGTGAGTAAAAATAGACGTTCTGTCAACAACAGCTCTAGTCTAGTTAGTAAATTCAAAGAAGAAAGTGAATGCCCCAGTTTTATTACGGACTATGCCAATTTTGAACGTCCCAACTATAGGGCACATTCTCAGGCATAAAGGGCTAGTAACAGACATGGAAGAAAAAACAGAAGTTAAAAGGAGTACAGGTAGACCTAGGTTAGATTACTGTTTACAAACAGTTAAGGATGGGGGATGATCTAGTTTTAGGAAAATGTAATGATTCGTTCAGAATAAGAAACGAGGTGGATTTTTTAGTACTGACGACCCTACGATGATGATGATGATGATGGATTTTTAATACTTCATTGATTAATCGATCTATTTTGAATCCGTAAGAACACTTGCAGTCGTAGTTCGAATATTCGAATTTTGAATATTTTTGGTCTTGGCACATTGGTCGACGTAGTCTAGTCAAAAAAAAAACAAGAAACAATAAACCAAGAGATCAATTAAGTAAAATGTCAAGTATTATTTTTAGACATCACAGAATAATTATTGTAAGGAATCAGAAAATCATTTCCAAACCTTGCCTGCTTCGGTCGCATCAATATTAACTGAGAAAATCGAGAAAAACTGGAAAGTACTTTTTTAATTCAGATCTCCTACCTAACCACAAAATATCGAATAGTTTTTCACAATAATAAATATAAATAACAATACGTACCTTCGTGTTTCACCGGCAGTCAATAATGTCTAAATCGTACAATTTTAATTTCTTTAACAGATTTCTAAAATGGAAGAGTCAATCTACGAAGTAGCATCTCG